CACCACTGGAAGACTGGTGTAGAATATCTAGGTCAAAAAGGTGCGGTGAAAATGCACGGATTAGTCAGGAAGGGTGTCTACGTCATATTCTACTGCGTGTGGTTTTGACTAAGCAGAATCAACCAAACCTAAAAGACTATAGCTCTTGGCTTGAGAATGTTGCAACGTCCCGTGGTATTCAAGCAGGGAACAGTGCAAAAGGCCGGACAGATTCGGGTTATAGAGGAGATATTGCTCAGTGGGTTCCAGTTGCAATGTTGCAACCAGGGATCGATTTGGGCAACTTGGGCCAACTTGCCATTTGCTGGGCCAGCAGTTCTCCAAACGGCTCTAGGCACTGCCCTAGGCCTCTTTTGAAGCCGCACCACCTGTGAACTTTACAAGTTTGACTCGGAGTCATGAAACCGACTCTCATTATGCCTTATCGTATGCCTATGTCGTCCCAGCAGCCACACAAAGAATTAAAGAACAATTAGGAAAGGAAACACTCATCCTCTGCCTAAAGTTGACAGCAGGACTGCTCCTATAGGGCCGGAGAATCTATTGCCCCCCCCTGACATTGAATCGACTTCAATTTTGACGAAAAAGAAACATCCTCATCCTCGCACTTTTGCAATCCATCAGCATCCATCATCTACCAAAATGTTAACATCCGTCCACCTCCGTCGAGACTCCCGCCATCTCGCGCACATCTCGCGCGCGCCAACTGCAAGAAGGCTCGCCCCGCCTCCGAGGAGTTGGCATTGTCCTCGTCACACTCTGCGGTGAGCTCTGCCAGGAGAGCCTCATAGCCCTCGAAGATCACACGCAAGGTGTAGGAGCGCGAGGCCCTTGGGTAGTCAGTCGGGTGGAGAAGTGGATGGATTATCGAATGGGCTGGGAGGTTTCTGTATTTACCCGGCAATTGACGGAATCTAATTAGGATTTCTCTGTTCCACACAAAGCTGTCCAACAAAGGTACAGTAGTCAAATCTCTTAGCATTGAGGTGCTGTAGTCCTTAGAGCCTTAGAGGTGCTTCATACATGGATCATACATATATGGGAGGGAGAGGAAGAAGGGACAAAGTACTTCTGCATATTAATTGCAGCCAAGAGCGTCACTCGACATACTCTTCAAATTGCTTTTCAGTGCTAAATCATGCGGATGGATCCACTTGAAACAACTGATTGAACCCCCTCCCCTCATGCGGGAAAGTCCGGTCAATTCGTTCATCGATCCTTCTAGAAAAGGAATCCTGGAAGCCTTATGTCCCATGCTTCCAACAAAGCCCACTTTCGTCCCATGCTTCCAACCCAGCAGCTTCGACACAGCACCATCCTTCTGAAAAGTTGGCTACAGGGACTGAGCATCGCACGGAGGTTTGCTAGCAGGTTCACCCCAGTACCTGCAACCACAACTAGGCGGTTTTAGAGGCCGGGCAGCGAGCGGCTATGAAGAAGTGCGTTCCGTGTTGGTTCTGGAGACCCAGCCATAGCAATAGTGGGACTGCCAGCCACCACAGCCAGTGTCCGTCATCAAGTGCTTGGATTGATGGAAAACACATTTTGTCTCAGGTGGATCGTGCCAAATAGGATCAAGAACAATCGTGCCAAATTGGATCAAGAAAATCCATCAAAATCCTAATCCAATCTAATCCAACTCCAAAGCACTTCTGTAGATAGCATACCTTCATGAATGCACCAATGGTCTGATGGTCCCTTCCTCCATCCCCTGCGAACGCCTTGGGTCGTTACTTCGTCCCCGCGGCAGCGAACGCCGCACCGTCCTTCAGCCGTCCCTCCGAACGAGCCGAACGAGCCGACGGCTCACTGGAAGGGCCCGGGCTGCCGGTAGCTCTGTGCCCAGCGGCACTGATGCCGAATCTGGCGGCACGGGTGGTGGGACGCATCGGATTTGGGCCGGGCTAATAAGGGAGGGCTTTTGGGAGATGATTTTTGGGATATGATATCGCCTGATATCGCCTGATATCGCCCTAGATTGATGTTGAAGAGGAAGTCATCTACTGTTGGCACAGGGTTGCGGATCTTGTCACTTGCCATGAGAGCTGCCCGTGACCCTAAGGACCAAAATGGAAAGTGATCTGTCAGCATTGTCAGTCCATCCCTATGCTCCAGTCCGGGCATTCTTGCTCGGACGAGAGGACAGCCTTTCTTGGCATGCTGAACAGCCGAACAAATTTGGGGGAAACAAAGCAGGACCAAAACACATCTTCCAAACTGTGCCCACCCACCTATCTTCTTTGATCCAGTTTCGAACAGTTTAAAAAGCAATTGATCCAGTAGGACTGCACTCCATCTCCTTTGATCCAGTTCCACTTCAGGGCGCCTTGTCCCAAAGGCGAAAGGCTTCATCCTGGCTGTCTGACACTGAGCTTGCATGGCGGGGCCGTCCGACGGGGCGACCACATGCCGACGTGCTTGGGGCCAAACAAAGGAAACGCCTCCAACGTGCTGACGTGCCAAGAATCTTAATTCATCTCCATTTCATAGAAAATGCTCTCCCTAGGGCTCCGAGGACCTTCTCAGAAGGTATTTGGACCCTCTAAACCCACCCCAAACACCTTCTGAGAAGGTATTTGGAGCCCTAGGGTCTATGAAAGCCGAAAGCCTTCTATTGCTAGCGATGGCTTCCAAGCGAATAGCAATGGCCACGGCACCCATGACGGTGCACCTTTCCGTGCCTTCCGCACCGTCCGCACCTCCTCAGTGAGCTGCCGCCGGCGAGCACGAGGCTCGGGTGGGTCAGACTTGGCATCCCACCTGCAGCGGCTGCCAGGCAGCACGCGAGCCGCGACGAGGTCCGTCGATTCATGTCTTCTCATGAGAAGACATGAGTCACATGCAAAGTCACAACATCGTGAGTCGGACACTGTTTCGGACAACTCACTCCAAGTGTCACAGCACCCTTTCCAACAACAGATGTGATATTTTTGATGGCGAGGCAGCATATTGTTTTTGGTTCTCGAGGGCGAGCCTCCCACAAAGAACAAATACCAAACCCGCACACTGTATAGAAAGAAATAGGTTTTGCTGGAAACGAAGCAAAACCTTAACATCTTGGCGGTATATTTTTTCGGGTGGACAGCAGCGTTGGGTGGACTGTGCCATGTCAATTCTGCAGGCGCCTAGAAGTGGAAGCATCGCCTAGGAAGCACCTCTTCCAGCTCTCTCTAAACAAAGGCGGCCGAACTACTTGGGCACTGACTCTGTTGAGAGATTCCTGGTATGACACATGGGGTAGACATTATGGGTGTAGACATGGGTAGAACGTCTGTTCAACCCTGCAGCCCAATGTGGCACATGGCTCTCAATTCAATGACTTCAGAGCAATGAGCGCCCCAACGTCAGCAGCCGCACCAAGGGTACTGCGCAAGGAATCCAACTCGGCGGCAGTGGCCCCAGAGAGGCCCGGAAGTTTCGGCATGGGAACAAGGGGCCCCAAGCCCTTTGAGTGAAGTACAGTAATCCTCAGTGTGTCAAGAGTGTTAAATGCACAGGACTCAAGGCTCAAGGACTCTGTTCATCTAACAAGTCAGGAGAAGTCAAGGCATTGCCCGGTCCAGTATGGGGCAAACATGGGGCAAACAAATCATCAGTCTGTATACATGCTAGATCATGCTAGGCTGGGCTAGGCTCCTAAATCTCCGAGCCCAGCCCAGCACCTAGCCGCTATACTATAGTCTCCATCATCCACCCTGGCTTCGACGCTGGGGCTTCGTTTTCCTCCTGCCGTCCACGACTTCATCTGGACTCGTCGAGTTCACTTGGCGAATGCGACGGTCCGACCGGGCGGCTTCTCGAGACCACTGGTACAAACACGCCAGGCGGAGCCATGGGTCTGTCGAGAAGTCGGCTGAACAAGCATTGACCAACATCTTGCAACCACTTGGAATTCACAACATCGAACTGTGGTCTGCGAAAAAAAGGAACAATATTTCCCAATCACCTATATGCTGCACAGGCATTTGCTGCTGTGCATTGCATTTTGGTGCGAATGCATCGTAACCGGTGACGAGCATGCTGGGGCTAGTGCCAGCTGAATTTATGTTTTCTGCTGCCTCTCTCAGGTAAAAATCTCACATCTTTAACAATCCAAGAAAACAAACATGTCTCCTGCAAATGACTGGGCACCGTCTCTCTGTGCTTGAGGGTGAGTGTGGAAGTCTCATGTTATCCTCTTCGAACCACTGGTCTCTTAGGTCTTCAGGGTGAGCTCCAAGTGCCAATCATCTTTTAGGTACATTATAAATAGTTTCAACATCAACTTGCATTGAACATCATTGAACCATATTCCTCTTGTTGTTATTCTTCTTCTTCTTCTGATCTTGATGCTGTTGTTGCTGTTGCTGTATCTCTCTCTCTCTCTCTCTCTGTCTTTCGCGCCCAGGGTGATTCACTGAGCATCATACGCCGATGCCTTTTCGAACGCAACGCACTATCAGCGAGGAAGGCCGACTGGAGGTGGTCCGCAGAGCGAACATGTCCTGAACATCTCGATTTCGATCGGGTGACCTACTTTAGATAGTTGGATGGGATCATATATTAGCCCATTACCAACTACATCCAACTACGAGTATCTGTGGATGATGATTGGCTGTTCTCGAAGATGTAGATGAAACAAATCTTTACTTCAGATGTTCATATTCTTTGGAGCTGGAACCCCGAAAGAACATGTAAAACCATTCAGTAGCCACATTGCATGTACAATTGCACGCAAAAGGCAGCAAAGCCGAACCAAATGTGCCCTTGGCCGCGGTTCGGTGAATGGGGTATCTCTCTCTGAGGGAGTCTTAGGAACGGATGCGCTCCAAACTAAACCAGCTCACTGACACAAGTATGAAGCTCTTCAGAGGTTTACCTGGAAGAACGAGAAGGGACACATATATGGACGCACACAAATATATATATATATAACAGTACATAATCCATATATGTATAATATATATATATATTTATATTATGTACATATGAATGTCAACGCCAACTAAGCAGCCCCGGCCTCACTTCTCCACAGCTTTCTCACCCCCAGGAAGCCGGTTTCGACTCTTGTGGATGGCGACCATAACCTGCAACGAGTGGTTTGAAGTCTGTCTGAACGGGTTCCCGGGCGGTTCCCAGCAGTCCGAGCATGGGCCTTTAAACCCTATAGTACTCGGGCCTAAATGGCTGCATATCCTTGAAGATCCTTTCTGCAGATCTCTTCCATGCCAAAACTTGGACAACGGCTAACTACAGTGGATCAGTATAGGTTAGATTCAACCACCATGTCTATCTTGTCCCACGACATCGTTCACGCCCTAAAACGCCTCCAAGTCATGCAGTGAGAGGAGGTGCTTCCCCCGGAAGTACTGCCGCAACCGCGCCGAGCTGAAGAAAAGGATGATCAATGCGAAGCCGATCCTAAGTGGCTGTGGCGCTCGTGGACGTGTATCTTGAGTTTAAACAAAGTTCCAAAGTTGGCTCCTCTTTGGATAGCGAAGCAATTGAATGCAAGATGGCCAGCGGATGCTAGCGGGAAAGGAAGTGGAGCAAGAGAGAGAAGCAAGTCAGCAAGCAACAAAGACACCCATGTCTGGGCTTGCAAAATTAAAAAAAACATTCTGGGCTGACAAAGCCCATTCTGGGCTGACGGTTCCTCCCAGGATTTGTCGGCCTCTCTACCGATCGAGTCGAAGTCCTTTCTCGGTGACGAGGATCAAAATGATGCCGATGGGCGTCACCGAGCTGTGTCCCTCGCTTAAGTCGGGCCAGCCTGGTGTGGACACCGATCGACCGACAGGAGACCGTCGACGCTGTCGACACCGACCGCGTCTCAGCCAGACCCGTCAAACGGTGTCTCTCACGAGCAGGCCACAGCTCTGAGGAACTGAATGCGCTGTCATGCGCTGTTATTGTCATTGCTGTCAGTGTGTGACAAATTCAGATCTAGAGCGGGAACATGTAGAATTATGAATGTGATGTCATGAGGTCAAACAAAGGGCTTGTTGGTGATTTGAAAGCTACGGCTAAGTTGGCGAGGTGACATCATGCAACACCGAATGAAGAAGTTGGATACAAACTCAACTCGTCAAGGGAACTACCGCATAGCATGCTTCATTATATATAGAGATCTCGAGACATACGTAACTTGGAGGGTCGAGGTCCAGGAAAAAAATATCACGAACTGCGGCAAATGCTTCCAAAGTTGCCTTCGGTTGGGTTCAGGTTGGCTTTTTCTGCACACACACAGGAAAGCGAAGCAAGCTTCTGTGATCTCCGAAAACTTGCTTCAGAATTCTTCCAACCCATCCGGCCCCAGTCACCTTCAATGGTAAGCCAAACGCCAGGCGCTGCCAAACAGATTGAAATCACAATATTGATCACCGGCTTCCATTTCAACTTGCCCAAGTCTCCTGCACTGGTTTCACATGGTTGCATGCTTCGGAAGTATGTCAGCTGCGTCCTTTCCTGCCAACGAGTTTAGCACGTTCCGAACGCCAACACACCGCGCCGGACAGGCAACACATGTCCACCTGCAAAACTCCTCACAGGGATTTCGATTTCGATCTTTGCATTGAGATAGGCGTTTCCACACTCTTTCTTGCACCACTCCCACATGCCGTCTCCCGGTCTTCCCGTCTACCTGTAGGTCTACCGGTCCTGACTGAAAGGCCCAGTTGATCTCAGACGCAAAGAAGTGATCCAAAAGAATGGCCTGTTCTCCTTGGCGATGAGCCATCAAGCGATGAAGAAGCTAGGCTACTCAAGGATTTGGGAGAGGATGGGAGTGTTTCTTCAAATGATATCATGTGTGGGCACATAGATATATATGGAGGACACTAGGTCACATAGGTAAACAAAGACACTTGAATCGAAATGCCAATCATGACGTTTTCAAGTTGGGCTCAAGGCTATAGTCTTGCTCACACAGCTTGAAGGGCAAATGAACGGACCAAGACAAGCTGAACTGGTGATTCAATGGATGTGAGATCGAAGATTTGAGGCAGCTGGACTATGTCAGCCAAGTCTTACATTTTGAAAGGGGATGTCATGCCCGCACAGTGGAGCAACAAACACATCGACGCTATCTATATCAATATATAGATATGAATGGCAAGAAGTTTGAATATACCAAAGAAAGCACATGACTAACATGGACTCGACTCGGGGTTGGTTGCTCCTACGAGACGTCTCTCATGGACTCGACACCCGGCTTTTGGAAAACCGGTGACACCTGAGAGGGATCCACTGGGCTGGGTCACGCCCCGAATCGGCCGAAGAGTGGGTTGCACCATGCCACACCCAAAGCAGACTCGGGTTTTCA